GGATTCAAACCTGCCACCTTAGGTGTATGTGGCTGGCGCCTTAGCCACTTGAGCCACAGGCGCCAAGCCAAGATGGTAGGTTTTTATGTTAGGTGTATTTTATCTCTCATAGTAACATCAGGGCAAGAGGCAGGGGCTGGAACCTCAGTTTCCAGGGAGTCCTAGTACCAGCTCTTGCCTGACATCCTGGAAGCTAAGGCCCCCAGGGACATGCACCCTCATCCAGGGCCCAGCCAGCCCCAGCTGCAGGGGCGCCATCATGCGACCTATCCACACAGCCTGGAGAGCTTCCTTCCTAATGTGGCTCCTTAGAGACCTAAGGCCCCGAGCCTTTTTATTTTCCCCAACAGCAGCAAAATATTTTTATATAAAACAACATTTTACATAAAAATTCAACTTACAAATACATCAATGGGGAGCTGCCCACCCAGCCACCCCTGCCTTCTTCTCATTCTTCTTGGTGACTCACATAATAACAAAGGGACGTCCCTAAGTTCATTGATACCTAATTTGAAAACCACTGATCTAGCCCAACTTCTCTTTTTTTTTAGACAGTGCCTCAAGCTGTCGCCCTAGGTAGAGTGCTGTGGTGTCACAGCTCACAGCAACCTCAGACTCCAGGGCTCAAGTGATCCTCCTGCCTCAGAAGCTGGGGCTACAGGCACACACCATGATGCTCAGGCAATTTTTCATTTTGTAGTAGAGATGGGGTCTTACTCTTGCTTGGGACACCGTCTTAAACTCCTGAGCTCAAGTTATCTTCCCACCTCAGCCTGCCAGAGTGCTAGGATTACAGGTGTGAGCCACTGCACCAGGTCCTAGCTATCGCCCTTTTTTACCTTAATAATAAGGAAGACTGCTGAGGATGAATCAAACGCTCCATTGTACAGGGTGATGATGGTTGAACGGTGTTTGCCAAATAGGTTCCCAACCTGGGAAAGACAGGACCATGCTGAGTTATTTATTCATAAGACAGATATTTCCTGAGTGCCCAGCATGTGCCCAACCCTCATTATATCCAAATCCACCCTTTACCCCAAGAGCTCCCGCCCTAGCTTTGGGCAACCTCGACTGAGGCAGTCAACTGTAGAAAAGTACCTCTTCCCTCCACCCACCCCTCCATCGTCCACCTCTTGCCAAGTGGCTGGGATTAGGGCAGGTCCCCACCTGCAGGTTTGTGATGAGAAACAGGATCCCCCCAACGGTGAGCATTGGCATAGCCAGGAAGAGCAGAACAGCTGAGCCTGGATCAGCAAAGTCAAAGGTAGACTGGGTCACAGTCTACCTGAGCCAAACAGGAGCCCCTCCAGCTCCTCCTGCCCCAATTCCCAACAACCCTGGGGCCAGGGCCCCAATTCTAGCCAGCTTTCTATCATCCTTCAAAGGTCTTAGGATACTGGAGAAGGCTCCCCCAAATGTTCCTGCTGAAGTCTCCTGAGCCACCTTCTTCCCCACCAAAGATGTTCCTCAGTCTATGGTAGGACTGGATACCTACAGGTAGAGGCAGGATGTGAAGTGAAGCCACCCCTCCCTTCCCCCACTAAGCCACACAAGCCCCTCCTACACCTCCTCAACACTGAGGGGCAAGAGGACCGTGAACTCAGCCCCCTGGTTCAGGCCCAAGCCCAGCCCCTATTTTACTGAATGACCCTGTGCTGGTTCTGAATCTGTGCCTCAATTGCTTCATCAGTTAAATGGGAACAACAGTTCCTGCTCTTTCTGCCTCACAGGGGTGTGGTGAGATCTGAGTGAGAAAATGGCCTCAGTCTTTCCTTTGTGCATTAAACTCTGAGTACTTCCTCTGTGCCAGGCATTGTGCTTGGCGTCGGAAGTTCAAGATAAGTAAAACCAACCCTTTCCCCTTGAACAGACTGACATGCAAACAAATCATTACAACAGGTCTGTAAAGAGTTGGGTGATAGCAGAACTGCTGGAGGGCTAACATAGAGGAGCCCTTGATAAATTAGTCTTTCCCAGAGACCACAGACTTCTGCCCACCTTCATGATGATGGCCATAACCTATGCCTGTCCTATTATTTGCTCTCGCTTTCTTTTTTATCCCAAAGAAACCTATTTTGAAAGGACACCTCCTATCACTACTGTGGATGAAAATAATTGCTTGTCATGAATAGAAAGTAGCCGTAAAAATAAATACAATGAAAGGAAAACAATGTTATTAAACTGTAGCTGGATGCAGTTGCTCTTAGAAAGTTCAAAGCCTGGGACCTGCTCTTGTCATCAGTGTTAAAGCCATATTGGCCCCACGTTGAGACTTTCTTTCATGAAATCAGCAGGGCTGAGAGAGAATTTTAAAAGGGAATCACTTTTCCATGAGGTGATTCATTGTTGGTTAACAGAGTTAATGAAGTATGCATGTGCCCCTAATGGCCTCTTAACTACTGTGCTGTACCTTGAGAAGACCTGTAAAGAGCTAATTTTAGAGTACTCACACTATTTACTATCAATTTCTGTCTTTATAAAATGTACATCTCTCCTAGTACTAAAGGTTGAAGACTCCTTTCACACAATAGAAGGGGGAGGGTAGATTGCTTGAGCTCAGGAGTTTGAGATGAGGCTGAGCAAGAGCGAGAAATAGGAAAACTAGCTGGGCGTGATGGCACGGCCTGTAGGCCCAGCTAACTAGGAAGGCTGAGGCAGGAGGATTGCTTAAACCCACGAGTTTGAGGTTGCTGTAGGATACCGGAGAAGGTCTGCCCCAGCTAGGCTGACACCAGAGCATTCTAGTCTGGGCAACAGAGTGAGACTGTCTCAAACAAACAAACACTTTTTCTGAAAAACAAAAGTTAATAATTTATGGAGAAAGGGGTATCTTTCAGATTTATAACAGGGCTTCAAACATTAACCAACCTCCACATTCAGCCTCTTAAAAATCATTTACAGGCTTTTAGAGTAGCTGTGCTTGTCTGATAAAGAGAAAGGCTTGAAATAATTGAATTAAGGTGTCAGGCTATCTGCTGAGATCTGTTTAGCTGAAGACAGCTGCCTGTTTGCCCAGCAGGAGTGGAGACGACCTCATGATGCTGTCTGCCTCGGCACAGCTACCACACTAGAGTTAGCTACTTTCCTTTCCTGAGCCCCAAACTGAGCTGAGTCATCTGACATTGGAGAGGAATACTGGGAACATCTGGTGGCCAGCATAACCGAGGTGCTGATAAGAACACCCAGGAACCAGGATGACTGCATCCCAGGCCCACTTCCCATTCAACTTTCTTTGTGGCTTTCGGCAACTCTTTGCAAGAGGTCCCTCTCCAGCCTCAGTTTCTTCTCTATGTAAAGGGGTGGGGGATGTCAGGGCGAAGAACCAGATTGGAATTCCCAGACTTTTTACAGAGTGGTAAAATTTGAAAGCAAAGCTTTTGAATACAGCAGTGTTGCCAACGTTTACCCTGCTAAGGATATTTTCAAAATTGTCATTCATATTATCATCTCAGTAAAAAGAGACAGGACATTGTAACTCATGCAAGAAAAAAGATGTTGAGTTTAGAATGAATTCTGCTCTCTAAAGCGACCCCTCTCCATCATACTTCTTTTTCACATTTGCTCACTATGGTCACTAGATGGCCAAGGGGAATACTTTGAAGGGGACAACTGTGATATTCAACAATGATAGGGAGCACTTTATCTAGAGTGAGTTCTTGAATTTATTGACTTGTTGACTAAATACAGTACTTTCATAGACCAGCAGTAACTCCATACCCTTCAAAGATTCTTTCGTGTGGATCTCTGAATAACCATGTGGTCCATGAGTCCTACCCATGACATGACCTCTGCACCTGCCCCCTCTACCAGGTGCCCCTGAGCTTGACATCCTATGCACCTGACAGCACTCACCTGCAGAAGTAAAGGCTACAGTCAGTGTGGCGGTGGTGTAGAAAAATCTGAAATACAGAACATTGTCAAGAGAGGGGAAACCTAGGAGACGAACAGGACACTGCTCATCCAACCTCCAAGCTTGGGACTTGCCTGCATTCTCCACTGGCTTGAACTGGGAGTTCAACGGGCATTGATGTTTCTTGACACGCTCAGAAGCAAGTGCAAGAAGTCTCAAGATTGAGATGTGGTCCTGACCTCACAGACAATGCATTCTGCTTATCCCAAGGTCCAGGGCTGGGCTGGGGTGTCTTGGACAATGACCTCAGGACTTAGAAGGGCAGAGTGGGTAGAGACAAAGCCTTCCCACCTGGAAGTCCCAACAGTTCAACCCCTTAGAGAAAGAGGTTCATGCCTGGTCTACAAATCAAAACCGTGAGTTATTCTCCTCCAGTGTCACTCTGGGCAAGGTGCTGCCCTTTTCTGGGCCTCAGAAGCCTTTTCTATGAAAGGAAAAAATGATTGGACTGATCTAGACTTCAGGCTTAGAATGCTACGATTTCAGGACTACAGCCTCAAGGTTATAGAGATCCCTTAGCCACTGGGGTCTTGTAAGGCATGGAGTAATAAAAGCAAAGGAAGGGAAGGAAAGAGGAAGCCAAAACCCAAGAAAGCCTGAGATACAGTCATCCTGTACCCAAAGGCCTAGATGGAAGGGGCTTGCTTTACTCTCTGGCTGCTCCCAAGCCGGTCTCTGACAGTTGATCTTACACAAGGCTCCCCAGGAGCACCTGCTCTGGGGCATCATCAGCCCTCCACAGCTACTGCTTACAGTAGAACCTGGCCACAGAGATCAGGATGCAGAAACACACTGGGTGCATGAGAGCAACTCTCTAACCCCCTTACTCATCTGCACGGGGAACTCCCACCACATCCCATCAAGAGGGACCTGAAATTCTACCACTGAGATACCCAAGAAATCTCATTAGCTTAGTTATTGGAAAATGATGGCAGGGGAAGAGGATGAAGATTAAGCCTCTTATGTGACCTGGATGTGAGGCTGTGCAGGAGATGCGGATAAAGTTCCTGGGTGAAGGCAGAAAGAGCAGCAGTTTGGGGTCTTGGTAATTTCGCAACCCTGGGGCCAGGCCAGCCCTCACAGGAAGTCAGCCCGGGCTCAGAAAACACATTCCTGAGGAGCAGGGAAGGCAGTGAGGAAATGGAAGCCAGGCTGTGGGAAGAGAAAGAGTCTAGAGAGGTTCCACGCTCTCCTGGGGCTGTTCTAACAGCTCCTGGCGTGGCACCCTGCAGGCTGCCCAGATGCCCAGCCTCGGTCTCATTTGAAGCAAGGCCACTGCCTCTTGCCCAGCTCTGCCCAGACGCGGCCTTCGGGACTTACATGGCTATGAGGCGGGCCACCGTGGTCTTGAAACAGTCAAATATGTAGCCGGTGGGGAATGTCATGAAGTTGTTTGTGAAGGATGCCAGAGTGAAGATGAGGGAGAACTTCTCATCCTGGGCTTTGCAGTCTGGAGGAGAGAAAAGGTCTCCCATCCATCCTAGCCTTCCTGCGAGGTGAGAACCCAGCCCGGTCTCCCCTCCACCTACAACAGCTTGCCTGGGGAAAAGTTGTCCTTTTAGCTGAGGTGGAATCTGACTGTCCCTAATTACCCCCTGGAGAGCTCACATTTCCCTCCCAGGTATGTCCTAGACCTAGTAGGGAAAGGAGTTTGCTGAGTCTCCCTCTCCAGCTAGAAAGGCTAACAGGGAGGGCAGTGGGTGGAGTCCTTCCTACGCCTTCCCACCACCTGGGAACCAGACTTCAACTCTTTAAAAGAGCTACCCCTACCCTTAGCAGCCTGCACTGTGGCATTGCCCATCAGCCTGGCATCCGGTTCACACAGCTCCTGAAAGTAATTCTCCGTTTTGAAGACATAAACCAGGGAAGCCCAACCAAAGATGACACCTGCAAAGCCAAGGCATTCCAGCAGCCCTGTCAGCAGGGTGGCCACGTACAAGCCCCGGCCCGCCATGGCCCAAGGGAGAGCAGATCTTCCAATTCCACTCTGTCCTCCTGACTGCCACTGGAGCCGCAAGTCCTGGCGTTGGACCACTTGGAAAATTCCTCTGGCAAGCACTGCCCTTGTTTCCCCCTTAGCCAAAAACCATCAGCAGGTGATTCTCTGGATCCTGTAAAACAAAGGCAGAGGCTGCCTGGAAGATGAGGTTTGTGGGAAAGACAGAGGTGGATAAAGGGTTCTTTGTGGGATGGATGAAGGGGGCAGGATGACCACCACCAATGACAGCAATTCTGGGGAGAAAACACTTTCATACACCATCTGGTTCTCATTCACTGCCTCTGAGTAACAGTCTGGGTAGCAAATAAGGCAAGTCCTAAAGCCTTGGGCTTGCAGGTGAATACCCAATTCTTACCTCCAGCAGCTTGTGGGGAAGAAGGAACTCCTGAAGTCAATTACTGAACACAGGTCCACTAAGGGGACGCCGAACCAAGTGCAGGAGCAAAGGGAGAATGTACAGGACCGATAAATCCTTACAGCTGTCGGGCAAAGTTCTTCGGTTATCTTCAGCTTGTTGACAATGAAACAAAAATTCCAGTGGATTTTAAGAATTTCACCAAGGTCACATGGCTAGTCAGTTGCAACACAAGACCAGTATGATTTCAAAACTATTCCAACTCCCAACCCAATGGAGAGCAAACGCAGGACCCCCAGGATACTTATTTGGGGCTCCCATACCTGGGCCTCTACTCCCCTTCCTCACACCAACCTCCTCCAGGAGAGCGCCCACAGACTGCTCCCCGCAATGTCCACACCCGCAACCTCCGCACCCTGCAACCTCCGCGTGCCCAAGGCGCGTGGCCAGCCTCCGTGCCCCGCGCCCCGCCAGCTCAGTCGCCCCGCTGCCCGGCGTCCTACCCGCCTGCTCCCCGCAGGGGCTCTCTGCGCTCTTCCCGCGCGCTCGGGCCAAATTCCGATTCGCGCTTCTCCACCACTCCCAGTTCCCAGCTCGCGGCGCCCCCGCCTGCCCGGAAACGGCTGGGGCAGGCCTCCTGTTCTCCATCACTTCCTCGTCCCTGGCTCTGGGCCTCCTGTGCCGGTTTCCGACCCTCCCCCTCGGATCTTCTTTTCCTCCCTCTAGAGCCCTCTATAACCCCAGCAGTGTCGCTTGCACCCTGATTTTAGTCTCCCTCTCCTTACCTGAGCTGCATACGCTTAGGCCCACCAGCGCACGCAGAGGAGACACAGACAGCTACATGCGGGCATTAGGACACACACACACATACACACACACACACGCACTCTGTTCCATGTGCTTGACCTCAACTACTTGGCCAAGCATGGAACATATTTTTCCTCATTTGCTCACCAGCCCAACTTCCCCAGTTTCAGGCTCCCAGAGCTGCCAGACAATCCCGACTGCAGAATCAGGGAGCCAAGAACCAGGGCTGAGAGCTTCTCAGAAACCATCCCCTGGAGGGGTGCTTTGCCTTTTCACCCCCAAGCACCCCTTCAGTGACTCCCTGCCTCACCCTCAGCCCAGTTTCTGAGAGAGCCTTCCAGCCAGACTGCATTAACTATTCATTGCCCTATTTTTTATTAATCAAAGACATATATAATTGCCCATCGGAGCTTGTGATCAGCGTGAGGTAGCCAGCCTAACCAGCTGTGCTGCAGTGCTCTCCTTCCAGCCCACAGCAACTGAGCTGATGTCCGTCTTCTTTGGCCTTGGTGTCCGGGCTCCTCCCCAAAGCCCAATTTGGGGGAGAACTTCTTGCATTTTAGCTGCAGTCTGCAGCCCCATCCCCAGCTTCCTGGATCTCTGGGGGCCCAGGAACTCAAGCTATTCCAAGCCCCCTCCCCTTTCTAAAGAGGAAAAAATAGAGGTTAGGATAGTGGAAAACCAGAACCAGGGCACGTTTTCAGATCACTACCAAAACTCAAAAGATAAAGAAAGTCTGTGACCACCCAAGAGACTTGACAGTGTGGGGGAAGGGTAGCTGTGGTCCTGGACCCCAGACACTCACTATTTACACAGCCTGAGGCAAGCTCTTCGACTGTCCCACCTGTAAGATGAAGGCAACAGTACCTTAATTACAGAGATTGTCATAAAAGAGATATGAGATGGGTTTATAAGGTCCCTGCTGGGAGCAGGTGCAGCAGGCAGACCATAGGGTAGCAGATTTTCCAGTTTGCAGCTCTGCGAGTAAATTTCAAAAGAACTTGCCCAAGGTCACTCTACAAAGCTGCAGGGCCTTCCCAACTCCCAACCCTGGGCTCTTAGCACTCTCAGTCTTAACAACAGATATTTAGAATTAGAGAAAACAAGCCTTTTCTTGAAAATTTAATTAATAGGAAAAGAAAAAACATAAAAACATAGCAGCCTGGGACAAACAGGACTTAAAATGCTAGATTTTCTGTTTTAACTGCAAGACATTGAAATTAATGCAAGCCCTATCTCCAGCTCTGGCTTACATTTGGATCTCCTGAGGACCTGGGGATCAGTAAGTGTGGAAGTAGCAAGGGAGGAACAGAAAAAGTCAAAGCAAAGAGAGGGAGATTTTTAGAATGTAAATCTGCAGGAGCCGGTCTGAAAGGCCCGGCTCACAGGCTACCTGAGCATCCAGGACTGGAGCACAGGACTCAGGATAGGTTGTCCAAGGCTCTGTCCACCTTACCTTGTTACCGCTGCCTTAGTTCTCAGAGCCTCTACCCCTCACACCCCCGCCAATGTCTGCAGAAGGCACCGAATCTACTAACAAGACAGTCTTAGTGAAACTGTTGGGACAGAATATTAATAGAACATCCTCTGAACCATTCCTGTCTTCTTTGGTTCAAGTTCCAGAGGCTAGCAGAGGCAGATGCTGTTCTGATCACTCTCATGCCTGGCCCCGATGAGGATTAATGAGTAACATCAGAAAAAAGGAGTGATTATAATAAGGTCTGACAGTGCACCCGATGTCTTCATCCCTTTTCTCTTGGCTTCCTCCCCCTTCACCTTGCATCTTTTTGTTTTTTAATTTATTGATTGGCTCCAAAAACACATGGGGAGTGCCAGGCTTTGTACACAGGTGCTGGGATTCAGAGAGAAAATACTCACGCCTTCTCTCAAGGAGTTCATTCTCTGGTGGGAGAGACAAACAAACCTGAGATTCCTGGAAGGAAGGAACAGTCTCACAGAGGACAGCACCGCACCCGGAAAGGCACAGAGCCTTAACAGGACAAGGACGTTCAGGAACCAGCTCCAGCAGAGACTGGCAAGGGGACTGGCAGGGCTTGAGGCCAGAGTGGCTGCCTAAGTGAAGACATTTGGGTTTCAGCCCATAGCTATCAATTGTGTCCTATTGATTCCACCCCTGAATATCTCTCCTGTCCATCCTTGGCCACCACCCTATTCAAACACTCATCACCTCTCACTTAGGCATCACCTGCTTCCACCCCATTGCCATTCAGTGCAAGAGTTTATTTCCATGGTTTCATTTGATGACACAGCTGCTTAAAACCCCTCACAGGCCAGAGGTCCAGTCAACCAGCTGTGAAGAGGCCAGTCTGGATACTGGGGATACTGGCCGTGGGAAAGAGGGAGCGCAGGACTGGGTCTCTTGGATCCTACCCAAGTACTAGTGCTGGGGGGCGCTTTTCCTTTCCATCACAGGCATTGTCTGGATATCCAGGCTTCATTCCATGGAAGTTTTTGTGGCCATAGTAGGAGGGTGAACAAGTTTATTTAGGTCTGGGGAGAATGGTTTGCAAACAGGCTAATCTGAGTGAGCTGTACCACATTATCCCCCTGGCACGAGCAATGGCTGATCCCTGAGTCCTCAGTAGAACCACCTCCCAATGCAGCCCCCATCTCTCCAGGGACCTCTCTTTTCTCAAGCCTCCTCCAAACACCCCCAGACAGGACCTGTCCCACATCCCATCCCCATTTGCCATTCTCTGGCAGAGTCCAAATACTCTATCCTGTTCCTCCTGTTCCTTTCCAGATTTTTTTATACATATGTGTGTACTTTTATCTGTGGACCGTTCATATAAAGGGCTTTGATTTCTGATCTGCCAAACACACAAACAAAACATTAACTTTAGGTCAGGCACAGTGACTCATGCCTGTAATCCCAGCGCTCTGGGAGACCTAGGCAGGAGGATCCCTTGAGCTCAGGAGTTCAAGACCAGCCTGAGCAAGAGTGAGACCCCATCGCTACTGAAAATAGAAAAATTAGCTGGGTATGATGACAGGCACCTGCACTACTAGCTCCTCAGAAGGAGGATGGCTTGAACCCAGGAATCTGAGGTTGCTGTGAGCTAGGCTGATGCCATGGCACTCTAGCCTGGACAATAGAATGAGAGTCTGTCAAATACAAAAAACAAAAAAACCCATAAACTTTCTTTCCTTTCAAAATAGACTTGTGTAAATCAAAATGTTTTCCCACCTTTGCTCTTGGAAGGGGTTTCATGAGCCTGTTTTGGAAGTCAAAAGGGAGATGCAAACATTTTCTCTCATTTTTTCATTTTAATTAGGGAGAAAAATTCCAATCATCTTCAGGCAATGCTAAAAAAAAGAAGAAGAAAAGAAAAGAAACAAAGCCAAGCACACTGATATTCTGCCAATCACTGGTCACCCTCTGTTTCCATTTCCTCACCTATAAAATTGGAACTGGGTTATTGTATGGCTTAAAGATAATGCATGAAAACTGCCCAATTAGTAAAACTAGTTGATTAATAAAGAACAGCTACTGCTGTTAAAATTATTTAGTTACTGCAAAACAAAGAGGAAATCTAACCAAAAAGAGTAAATAAAGTCATATTGGGGATAACTGCAAAATGTTCCTAACCTAAATAAATAAATGAGAAAAAAAAAATCACTGGGTAATGGGAAAGCTTAGTCATCTATTTAAGGAGCCCCACTTAAGAACACTCAAAGGCACATCAGTGTAACCCTGGATGACTGCTCCACTTGACCATCTGAGCTTCTCTAAAGCAGGGGCCTGTGAGCTGGGGGAAGGAAGTCTGTTGACCAGCCAGAGTGGACAGGAAGGGAAGGGAGCCCTAGAGCTGAACTCCAAGGTGTCTCCTCCTAGCGTGTTCAAAACAGTTCTGACAAGGGTGAGAGCCCCTGCATAGCCCTGAGGGAAGATGAGGCCTCCTTGCTCAGGGAAGACCTTTCTCTTTAACATAGGAGAAATCTGATAGAGTGCCTGCAGAGACTCTGGACAGAGGAGCCACTCCCTCAGGTCAGCCAGCTCAGCTCCGGTAGGTGATCAAGGTACCAGATTTGCCACCAGGCCAGCCTCCCTTGCACCATGCAAGAATAGAACTCCCTGACCGGCTACTGGGGACCGTGGCAGGGGTTGGGGGGGGGTGCCTTGGGCCAGTCCTTAGAACAGAAACGAGAGCCCCAAACTCCACCACACTTGGCCTGATGAGGCACCCACTATCCACCCTCCCTCCCCACAGCGCTGCTGAAGCCAGAAAAGCAGCCAGCAAGATGGAGTCTGAAAAAAACAAAGCTGAAACGGTACAGCTGCTAGTCTGCTCAGCCTTCCCCGCATGACTTTCCATGATTATCTAGTTAAGATTTCTCCATGACTGTGAGGATGTTTACCCCAGGAGACTTGAGGAAGTGGTCACACATAGACAACTGGTGTTGTGATATTTGTAAAGGTTACTTTGATGATATGATGTTTTTTAAATAACTCTTTTAGATACTTTGTTAAAGTGAAAATCACCTTTCTGTTATTTAAACATTTTGCATTGTCAGAATAAAGACTACTTTGATGTTACTTCCTATCAGATAAAGTTAAA